AACTTTACGAAAAGTATTCAGTTGGCAGAAATAATGTTTCGCAAAATAACTACAGCAAACGGGCTGAGAGAATAATGTTAAGATATTTGCATGTGATTGACATTTTATCTTCAGGTATCCAGCAACATAAATAAAAGCTGACAGAAGATTTTTCAGAATAGAAACTTACTTCTGAAGGTCAGAAATTGAAGTGTTATGTTCATATCACTGAAAATATGTCAAGCAGAGTATGTGTGTGTGATTATGGCAAAGCCTCGAGGGCTATCTGCCTAAGGGGAGGGATGCCTTCGTGGAAGACTTTCTAAGGAAAACTGGCTCGTATAAACGTTACACATGGGGAAAACCACGAAAACGCCCATGCAGCCAGCCCGTTCGCGGAATTCGAACCACGGACCGAACTACCAGTGTTCAGCGACTTTACCGCTCGGCCGCTGGTGGGCTGATTGAGTGGAAGAAACCACTAAACACTATTAGATGGTTCCGGATCCGAATCCCAGCAAAAGGTCAGCTAAATGGGTGTTTTCGAGGTTTTGCCTTATGTAAAATAAATACGAAATCTTATAAAAGTCTTCCACGAAGCAATCCCTCCTCGTAGTTAGATAGCCCTTATCTGCTTTGTGGCAACCAAATAACTTAAAACGATGCATGAATTCTATAAAAAAATCTCATTAAATTTAGAAGCATTTTATTTAAACGAATTTTTCCACTAAACAAAATATTTTTTAAAGCACGAATGCTCACTTCTTGCATATATTCGTTTCAGTATAAAGCAGTCACTGCGAAAATACAGCAGAAAGTGATTTAAGAATTTCGCTTATTTTCTAATTATGTTATTAATCGGGATTGCTTAGATAATGTTACTCATCAAAATGAATATCATAAAAAATTGTTTTGTAATATATAAACCGTAATCCAGTGGTTTCAAAATGGCGACCCCTAAACACTCATGTTGTGTGCGAATAAATTTTCCGTAACTTTAAATTAGCATAATTATGACATTAAAAATTCGGAAAAGGATTTGTAGAATTGAAGATTCTAATGATATGGAGTCCAGTTTAACAATATTTTCATTACTACTAGAAATGAAAGGGAAGTGACGCTCCAGAAAATCTACAAATGGAACTAATTAATTTGCACCATGATATAAATCACGTTCAAAGATCTGAAAATACCGATTTCGTTAACTTTTTTTCGAAATTATCAAAAAATAATTAGTTACTAATTTGTGCAATAAGAAATATCGTTTTGTTTGGAAATAGTACATTTATATATGAACATTTTTTTTGTTCCAGTTAACAATTAATAAGTCTAAAAAATGAACCATATACTGTCAATAAGCATCTACAGTTCGTGATGAAGATAATTTTTAACTTAAAGTTTGTTAAAATCGAAGCGCGATCAATTGTTGTAGCTGAAAGTTTAATAGAGAAGTTTATGGTTATTTATTGCATACAAATATATTTTGGTTGTATGTATCAAAGAAAACTTTTATTTAAACGAAAGAAACAGAATAGGTTGTCATTACTTGTTTTCTAGCTTTGTCCTATTCGAAAAGTTTTTGTAATTTGCTTATTTTAAGTTTAACAGTTTATTCAACGTATTATAATTATTTCAAATACATTTCTCTCGGAAAATTTAAAATTCAGCTATCATTACATTTGAATTATGAGGTGTAACAATCAGAAATTTATTGCAGGTATGCAATAAATCAGAATAATCAGTGAATAATCAGAATAATAATCAATTTACATTATCGAGTTCTCGATAATGTACTCGACCTTTTGGATTTCGAACAGAAAATAAATGTAAATTGGAATTTTTTACTTTGTGCTATTATTATTACTGTTTATGCATGTTTTAATAATTATTTATTATCTAAAATGAAAAATTTTTTGTCTCATGAATACTTTTCTTTTAATTTTGAAGGGGAAAAATTTGCGGCCTCTCAGCTGCTTCATTCGGCCCGCTTGCACAATCTGAGTTTGAGTCCACTGTCATCATCCATTAAGGAAAAATGATTGCATTAGGAAATTAATATTTTTCTGTTAATGTGGTTTCAGGCTACAAATGTGCACCAAAGTGCCAAATGTGGTAGCCTGTTTATGTCGCATCATGAATAACTGTTCAACGTGCTTACTGCTCATTTACGCCGTTTACACAGCAATATGTCTCCGCTAAAAAAAAAAAAAAAAAAAAATCTGAGAATTGCACAAATTCAGAACTGTGCCCGTTAAACATATATATTATGTTACATTATTATTATTACAAGTACATCCCCCTCCCATGAAGCTTTACGTATCGTTATTGTTTCGTCGTCAAGTTAGCTTGTCGCCATTGTTTAGGTTTGGCGCTAATTGACTCCTCCTTAACAGAAAAGTTAACTTATTAAGCACGAATTTATTTAGAATTAAATGCATTAATTTTTAACCAAAAATTAAAAGTCTGTACATTACCCAACATTACTTATTGTATTAAATACTTTAATGATGAATAATTGTGGAATTATTAGTATAATTTATTTTATTGATTTTAAGGGATACTATATTACAGATATAATCATAAACTTTTTTTTGTACAAGACATTTAAGAATTTCCGTATTTTGTGTATTTTTTAAGAAATAATTTTTAATTATTGCGTGTTATTAAATAATAAACTGATTCAATTTGGAAAAATTTCTCACTTTAAATGCATATGCAAATTCGTATTAAAAAATCGCTTTAAATTTTAAATTTACCACTGAGAATATTGCATTTGTACTTGGAAAAGGAATTTATAATATTACGTTTATGTAACTTCCGTTTATTTCACTTTTGAATGAAAATTGACTAAAATTCAGTTATAAATTGCATAAATAAATATCACTATCCTTGATGAATTACGTATCTTCAATAAATATATATATACATTTGAACTATTGGCTTTAAATAGCTTTATCAAATAAAATATTTTTCACAATTATTCTTATTAAAAAATACTTAAATCTTACACCTCTCTGACGTATAGACATCAAGCATGAAAAAAACTACATCTTTGTAAGTAGCAGTGTAATGCCGAAACTTCGGAGTTCGGATAATCAAAGTACCCAAAATTATTTCAATGATTAGATTCATTCATTCAGTTCAAAATTCAGTTTATAAATGCTGTTTGAGTTTACCATAGCACCAAAAAATATGCCTGCTGAACTACTGGTAAACTTCGAGCAAATATTTGAATTTAAGCACGAAAGAGATTGGCTAATCTTTGGAATATGGTAACAGGTAGTTTGGCGACATTTTGGTAAGGCGATAAAGGTTACTAGCTAGGACTTTAGCAGTGTACATAAGTCAAAAGTGTGCGCAATGCCATTTTTGTGCAATTCTGGGATGTTTTTTTAAGTGAAAATAGGTCGACGTGTACATGGATTCCGTGTATGTGCAATTCTTAAAAACGCGGCAAGCAGTGGGCGATTCTGCACTTTCTCCCAATTTCGCACCTAACCTTCGTTATGATTAAGCACTTTTGTTCCATAAAAGTTCTAGCATAAGCAGATTGTTGGAAAAAAATGTTGAGGAAAAAAAAAAAAAACATGCCTTTACTTCGTAAAAACAAAATGGCGTCAAAAAAAAAACTAGCAGGTTGTTGTAGCAGGCTTGGTTGCCAAAAAATCGCCAAGTTACCATAATCCGAAGATTAAACAAGAGATTTTCTGATTGATGATTCGCTGATTTTCGAAGAGAAAAACGTTTGTTTGCTTATTTAATTATTGCAAAGTACTGGGGGGGGGCTACCTGCCTTAGGGAATGGATGCCTTCGTTGAGAGCTTTCTAAGGGAAACTGGTTAGTATATTATATATTACACATGGTGAAACCACGAAAATGCTCATGCAGCCAGCCCATTTGCCGGGATTTGAGCTCCTTACCGAACCATCAGTGTTCAGCGATTTTACCACTCGGGCTGTTGGTGACTGGTATTCTTGTCACATACGGGTAAAGCCATGAAAACACCCATGCGCCCAGGATTTAGACCCCAGTCAAACTATGACTGTTTAACTGTCTTATCCACTAATAAAAGATTCATTGTAGAAGTAAAACCACTATTGAGGTACTTAAATATTTTAATATCATATCATCGGTCAATAAATTAATAAGCTGACTGAAAAACGCGGTATTCAAACTTTTTTTATGTGTTAAACAGTATAAGAACAATATAGGCATTTCAAATGATTTTTATTAGTACTTTGACGGCATATAATATGATCACTTTCTTGATCGCAATGAGTTTATAAAAATGAGGAAGTTTATAATTTTATTTTTACGATTGAATTAGAAATCACATCTTTCATGTGTGCCTACGTATGTTTTTCGTTTCAAAATAAATATGTATTTTTATTTGCGTAATGGTCAGGTAAATTATTAAATGAAAACGTGCATAGAATGAAATGAAAAGTAAATTAAAGGATTCGTAAATGAAAACTTGCATAAATTTGCAGTAATTTGAACACCATTCTGATTTCCTAATGAGAACTTTAAAAAAAAGCAGAACGATGATAAAAAAATGTAAAAAGAAATAAACATCGTAATTTAATTAAAACGAAATTTTTAATTTCAGCATTTTCGAAAACTATCCAAAATATTTACTTATCTTAACCAACATTTAAAATTTTTCAAGGTTTAAACATGTTATGAAACTAAAAATTTTAAAATGCAAACTTTTCTCTATATAACACAGACTTTAAGATGGTAATTTTTAAGAGTACACATAAAAATTATCCTATTTAAAAGAAAAAAAGATTCTTTTATTAGTGACTTTTCTTAGAATTTATATTACTTTCAAAACAACTTTGAAAACGATACTGCAAAGACAGAGGACTTATCCATTAAAGCATTTTACTTCATATCAAAAATAATCAGGTGTTAATAAGAAAATACGAATATTAATAAAATTATTTCAAATTAATGCATTTCTCGATAATGTACTTTTTATAATATAACAAACTAAAAGAAAATAAACAATTCTTACCTTCGAATTAGATCCTTACAACAGTCAATAGTGGAATAACCGTGAAAGGAATTCAACAGAACGCCGGTAGCACAGAAAAAACTGAGTAGAATTTTTGCTTCTTCACGCTCAATCTTTTTTACCCGAATTTTTCTCTTCACCTGCCATTCGTAGTTCTTTATTTAATTATTCAGATATAATTTCTGAACATAATATATAACATGGGATCTTTCTGAAGAAAATTTCATTCATTCTTGAACTTTTATTTAAAAGGGAAATGTTCTGGTGCAATAACTACCGCACATAAATCAAGCTACATGAAACTTTAAACTCTATATAATTTATATTTCAAACCTTTTTTAAGCGGAAAATAAACATATAATTTCAGAAGACTTTCCATGAATTTGTTTTTTAATTAAATTATCAAACTTAGTAATTTTTGCTGCTGTATCAGAAAACAATTCCTACTTTCATGCTTAAGTTAAAATAAGAATATTAAAATTTAAAAAGTAAAGTTTTCAGCGATAAATAATATGAGTATGACACATCCTTTTCCTTCCCTCTCCATGGCAACAAGCTGCTGATCAATGCCATCTTCAGAGAGGAACTAATAGCAGAATTAAAACCCCTCTAGAAGCGTAGCAAATAGAACTGAAACGTGACAAAAATTCTTGGAAAAAGACAGGTGATATGCTTAAGAATTTATGATATTAAGGAAGTTAAGGAAATAAAATAGATCAACAACCAAATGTGATTAGGTTTAAAAATAACGTGCGATTATTTCCATGATTTGAGTTATCAGATGTACCCGACAGGTGCCTATTTAGCCTTGTTAGACTGTTCATGCTTTTGGTAAAATCCCACCTGTATCACAACCACTTTTTATGTCTTGTTAAAATGCGTGCTGATAAGTTATAATTTTGAAATACAGTATCAGGTGAAAGCACTGTGATTGGTGAAACAGCTGCTAGATGCTTAGTGCTGTATATAACTCAGCCAGATGTTCTCAATGCATATAAATGAAATGTAATGACAACATATTTATAACAGTTTTGCAGTTGCAACATTTTCGCAAGGATTATAAATGATAAATTATTGGGTGGGATTTAAACTAGATGTAATTCAGTATTCATTTAGCTAAAAAAAGGCTAGAATAAATTTTAATTTTCCGTGCTGAATCAACGTGAAACAGATCACATGTAAAACGATCTTGTGTAATGAAAATATACAGTTTTAAAAAAATAGATCCAATTTTACAGATATCTGAACACTGCAAAACTTTATGATATTATGTTATCATCCCTTTTGCTAACAAGTTAATTAAAATATACTTTTATTGAATATTTAATAATCAAGGAATTATAGCTAATTTGTGCACGCAGCTAATTTGTATCATTGAATGGCAGAAAATGGCAGCAAGCTTAGAACATCCTTCGGATGTATTGCCTATGATTTGAAAGAAATTTAATGTATTTCTTATTTTAAATAATTAATTTCTTTTAAATTTCTAATGATTTTATTACAAAAATTTTAATGATTAACTCCATTGTAGATTTATATATTTTTAAAATGTTATTTTCAAAATAAATAAATAATGAACGGATAAAATTCCTGCTTATTATTTTAAAATTACGTAAAATTTAAAACCAAAAGTAAAATTGTGTATATTGCAATAATAAGCAGTAATCTGGAAACTTTACCTTACATCCCAAGTATAACACTTCAAAATGTTCCTTTAAAAATATTTAAAAATTAGAATGCAGAAAATATTTTTTAATATAATATGTATATGCCCCATGCTTTCAGATCATTAAATAAGCTCAAAGAAATGAAGTCTAATATGTAGACTTAAAATTTGTTACTTAATGCGGAAGAGAAAATAGCAGAACTTCTTGATTTGTTTTTCTGCTTCTTGGTGGCTGAATAGCTGATAAATTGACTACAAAACATAAAACATTAGTCTGTGTAGTCCGTGAGAAAAGATTAAGAGAATCTCTTTGCTGTTATCAACAATTAAGCCAATTAAACTTTACCCTGCGAGCAAAGGAGCACAAAATTCAATATTGGATATTCAAATAAAATTCATTGTCTTATTCAAATAGTTGTATTAGTCAATAGCAAGTAACAGCTCTGTTAGTGAATAGTTGTTCTATTAATATTATTGTATTAAGCAGCCAATATACACTCTTAGACAAAAAACAAAAAAACAAACAAAAAGAAAAAAGATTCACCAAGAAGGAGTTATCCGAATGCGACGAAAATCGGTAGAAGTGATGTACATAACAGAAAAACAAATGATTACAGTTTGAGAAAAATTGAATGATTTATCGAAGTGATAGAGTTCCGCAAAGTGAAAACGTTAGTAAGCCCAGGGGGACGTGGCATGAAGGGCAACACAACGGGCCTTAGAACTTCGTCGATGTACCGCTGTGCTGTAAGGTTGCGACGGATGACAAAGGGGTCCTACTATGAAATGAAATGGCACCCCAGACCATCATTCCTGGTTGTCGGCTTGTCTGCCGGAAGACGGTCAGGTTGGTATCCCACCGCTGTCCGGGGCGTCTCCAGACTCTCCTTCGCTGTTCATCGTAGCTCAGTTCAAAGCGGGACTCATCACTTAAGACTATGTACTCCAGTCAGTGCCATTCCAGTGCGAATGAGCCCGACATCATTGCAAACGGGCTTGACGTTGTGCAGAGGTCAATGATAGTCGGCGCAAGGGGCGCCGTGACCTCAGGGGGCTGTGAGCCGTTTATGAATGGTCCTTACGGTCACTGAAGCACTGGCAATCGATGACTGAAACACGTACAATCGATGATAATGATGCATCTGGGGCTGTAAGTGCCGCTCTGACGATTGCTCGGTCTTCACGTTCTGTCGTTTCTCTAGGCCTACCGCTTCCTTCTTGACGCTGTGTGCGGCCATGGTTCACCCGTTCCTGCCAACATCGCCTAATAGTGGCATCGCTCCTGCTCAAATGTCGAGCTATTTGCCGATAAGACCAACCGGCTTTTTTGATCCCAGCTACATGACTTCTCTCAAATTCTGACATCTGCGCATATCGTTTGCGCGCCTGTATGCGAGGCATAGTTACTGTCTACCAGAGTACACGGAATGAAATTCGTGAAGAATTTATGACCTGGAATCATAATTTCTCCTCTTAGATATCCTGCCAGTTGCGCAGATCAGATGCGTTGTAGCGACAACCGTTCATTCATTGACAGCCAAAATGTAAAATTTTGTATTTTCCGTCGAAACCTGTATGCATATCAATTTGTGTCCAATTTGCTTTATATCTTCTCGGTGCGTCGTTTTCTTTGTCTAAGAGTGTACTAATGAAACAGTAGTAGGATAGCAGAAATCCAGAACAGCTGACCTTAGAATTTTATTATTTTAAACATAGATAAATTCCGAGAAATATCTTTTTGTACCCCATCAGAGGATTACTGAAAGATTTTAAAATGACAGAATTTCAAATTTTCCCCCATTGTTATTATTTTTATTGCTTCACATTTGTATTTAGTTCATTATATTTTTGTGATTTTCATTATGTATAAATAACTTCAGTGAAGTTATGTTTAAAATTGTATAATGTAACATAAAAATCTGAATATTCGAAGCTCTGTCGGAAAACTAAGATTACAACATAGGCAACATTGAAAGGGCAACATCTATTAACATTAAAATAAAATGGCTATCTTCGTAAACTGGTCTTGGCGAGTAATTTTTTTTACGCAAATTTGAAGAGAAATCGCGAAAAGTCGCAAATTAGGAACCATTTGGCGACATTTCGGTCCGGTTCCTTCTGACAGTCTCTTATACTGACAATCAGCTGAATGCAACTCACAATATGTTTAAATTATGTGCTGCGCTTATAACATAACAGCACTATACACTACCAACATGTATATATAACCGCTGAAATGTCCCTACAGCGCATGAAGTACTTTTTTTTTTCTTTTTTTAGAGACATAGCTGCTTACTGCGTACAGTACTCACTTACGGCGTATAGAGCAAACTACTGACTATGAACAGACTACTGCACTTGCATTGTGTCTCTATAGTAGTTACAACTACTGACATAGTAGTTAACAACGACTGAAATATCTATAGAAGTATTTCCTGGAATAACCACAGTTATTACAAACAACTGCTGCAAGTTATATATCAGTGTATAAGGTACTGTGCGCAGAGTAATTGGAACGCCCTGACAAATCGTGTACAGAACTTATCAACAGTGTACAGAGCTCAAACTGACTAATCACAGGTTACTACTTGCATGTCCATGCTAGTCCATGCTTAACTGAACAGTGTAAAAACAAATGTGTATCCGACTTTGCATTGTGTAACCATTCTGTAAGCATTGTGTATATAACAAGCATCATGTATCTATTACAATACTAATATGCACTGTGTATTCTACAACATAGTGTTTCTCCTACAGTCATTGCCAGTACTGTATTACACAAACGCGTTATACAAACTATCTGCAATAAATATGCACCTCATTCTGCACTGAATTTGTCAAATTCTGCACAGTATCTGCTGTATATAAAGCATATAATTACTATGCAACTATCTACATTGCGTGTGCATTACCTGCAATACCTTACAACCTGTTGTGTATCTGACTTTGCACTGTGCATTTGTTCTGTGAGCAATGTGTATATAAAAAGTACTGTGTACCTACTTTAATCCAATAAACACTGTGCATCTAATATAATATAAAATAAGCTCAGCGCATTCTATAACATAGTGTCTCCACTACAGTTATTGCCTGCACATCATATCTGTATTACTCAAACTATCTGTATTATATCTGCACTGTATCTGACATATATGCATAATGTATAATTCATCTATTCATCTATCAATATTGTATCTGCATTACCTGTATAATCTCATAGCTTCGCATAGAAATATATAGCTTGGCAACATAGCACACAACATAGCATGCATGGTGCTGCGTACTATAATTGTGTTGTATACACAGTATACGATTTTTTTTTTTAATGTGTAAGTATAATTGTGTTTATATAATTGTGCACACTAATGTGTTATATGTATGTGGTAGTATAGCGTTTTATTCTGCGTTTTAATACGTTAGTATAATTGTGTTTGGCATAATTGTATACACCATAACTGTGTTGTATATAGTAGTATAGTGTTCTTATTTTGTTTGTTACAATTGTCCGCAGTATAAATTTCTAATATCTAATGCTTTACAAGCATAGTGTATCTGTTTTTACATTGTGTATTCAATTCTGTAAGCATTATGTATATAAAAAGCGCTGCATCTATTCAAATTAAATAAGTATAGTGTACCTGATATAACGTATTGCATAATGTATTCTCCAGAGTAAAGTTTCATCTGCAATTACTATATCATCTAATAACAAAATTTAATATTCTACAGTGTGCCTGCATGCTTATGTATGTTTATTTGCGCATTTTACATGTGATATGTGATCTAAATGTGTCTAAATGATCTAAATGTGTCTTTAGTGTAAGTGTATACTATATATTAGCTTAAATATGTTTCATTATAAGTATGTGTTTTACTTGTATAAGTGTGTGCAAACTAGTATCTAATTTCTATTTTTATATAATGTGCTTACATGTTTTATATGTGTTATATATGTGCTTTTATATGCGTTTTACAA